ATTATTGAACGGTGTTTTATGTATACTGTGATGTCACTCTCCTGTGACAGATAATGTTATATGCATATACGGCTGTTCCTTTAAGCATAAGGGCTTTTGGTTAATAAAGAATGAATTAATGAATGAACTTGTAGTCTCAAAATGCTTACTTACCTGAGGAACACAAGATATATTGGCATGATGCTCATCGTAGCAATAAGTGTTGAAACCATGGAAACGGCGACATACGGAATGAGAAACTGACATCCGCTGTCACAGATACCAGGCCGTGCCGTCTGGTCACCTGACACAAACCTACAGTCACTGTATACCTAAGAAAAAGTCAACAATGGCGACATATTAGGCAAAAAGACGCAAACGCAAAGAAGAGTGTTTCCAAAATATAAAGAATCATTATAATACATGTTCTTTATTTTACTACTCTGCATAAATATATGTGCACTTTTTGTAGATGCTAATCTACCGACATACTATACATTTACACTGCTTATTGCAATTCCTATGTCAGTACAAACAATTCCACAGCGAAAATGATTTTAAAAAAAATCCGAATCGCGAAAATTAATTTAAGGAATGCGAACAGTTTATATGTTCAAAATGTGAAAGTTTGGACAACGCAAATAATTTCAAAGTAGAAAACGCGAAAACATCCACAAAGCGAATGAATTTAAAATTAAGAAAGAAATGCAAGCATTTCCACATTACAAATAGTGTTTTAAGTTAAATGCGAAATTTTGAACAATGCTAGTGGTTGTTGTGTGATTCAAAACGCAAACATTTCTACAATGTAAAAAAATAAGTTCAAAATGCGAAAATGTCCACAACACGATGGGTTTTAAGGTTAAAAAACTTTCAAATTTTTATAGTGCAAGGTGGAGAAGAAAAAAAACAAAAACGTAAACAGCTTTTAGGTTCAAATGCGAAACTGTAAACAACAACAATTAACGGACAGATTGATTTCTACAGTCTATATATTCTACTCTATTGTCTGGACAAGTTTCACTGGAGAATTGTATGAGAGCATTAATGTGTAGGCCTGGTACAGTTTCCTTAAATGTAGAGCTTACATTTTCGGTGACGTTGTGACAGCCAGCATGACAGGGTGTGATGAATGTCTGTCCGTCCGACCCGCACACCGCCTCGTATGGTACGCCCTCACATTGACAGCTCTGCACGGACGCCGGACTGAAACAAAAACACTCTTTTACATCATACGTGTAATCTGGCTAAACATGTCAAATCCTGTTGTCGTATTCTTCCGTTGTACATTTTGGCTGAGGGTAAAAAAGATTGTTAATAACTTAAGAATCCCCGTAACACTACCAAACACTGTATCTATGGGTCGGAAACTTTTTCTCCGGCATGACTACAGCTTAGATAAATCTTTTACAAAAAAAAAAAAAATCTCTTACGCATTTTTCACACACACAAAAAAAAAAGAAATGTAAAAAATATAAAAAAAGACCAGCAAAGCTTACTAGTATTTGTTTTACATGTTTACTAATATCACAGCATGTATTCAAGAAGGAACACTAGCAAACACACACACATGTAATTATTTCAAGAATTAAGACACCAAAATCCTGTTAACAAAAATGTCACCGTAATTCATGGTGAATATTTGGCAAAAACGCCTAATGTCCTATCAATAATCATTCTCCTTGACGGAAACACTTGACCCACATCTGCGAAAATACACCAAAGGTGGTATGCAGATTATTGGAAGAAGAAGAGGATGAAGCATGTAAAAACCTAGGTTACCAATCGGTTGAAAGCGAATTTAAAAAAACAACCTTCACAATATCAACATTTCCTTCTTTACACATTACAAAAGTTCGCCTTTTATATGCAGAATAAATGATATTAACTGTGTAAATGTTAACACTCTTCAATTTCTTTCATAGATGAGTAGGTTAATATTGATATATTGCTACTATTAACATTACCAGTATCACCATTAGCAAACAACGTCGCGAGTAAATCTCGTAAGAAATAATTATCAGTATGTAGTTCAGGACAACCTATGAAATAGGGAACATATCAGAATCAAATATACCAATTATAATAATTTCTGACGTAAAAAGCCCATCCGTTCACCTGGAAGCCTATTTCCTCCAAACACTCGACCGCTACCCGCGTGAAAAACGTGGGCACATTCACCAGGGCCCGCTTTCATTTATCGCGATCGAAAATGTAGAACCGGTTGGACAAGTGGTGTTCGTTTAGGAAATAAAGTCGGACCTAGTAATGCTGTTTTCTGTTGCAAGGCCTGCATAAACCTTTGCAGGTCCGCCAGGATTTGTACCCGATAATTCTACATTTACAAACAAACAAACCGGTTGTTCCGCATAAAACAACAGGCCCTGATTGTGTGAATATCACGTGTAGAATGTGGAAATACGCGCGCGTCGTCTGTCCTTGGCGTCTGCCCTAGGTAGTTTATGCTACCACATCAGTTTTCTTTATGATTGCGATCTGATATATTGGTGGTTACCTTCGCAGTGAAGCTCTTAATGACATGGATTTTTTGTGATGACATTTTGTTTGGGTACACCTGGATTATGGACAATACCAACAATAGATTGTAAATTACCGGAAGTTAACCAGGAATCAGCTCGTAAGTATAAGATTTAACATGATCAGTATTGCATAATAATCTGTCCTTGCGTAGAAAGAGTTGATGGTTGTGTCTTTCATCCAAACACCTTTATATATCTGCCAATGCAAGCAACATTTCCCGATGAATACAAGGTGAATGAATTTAGTTCAACTGTTAACTTTGAAAAGTACAATACAAATACGACACACTGAGTGTCATATTTGCTATCTTAGACAAAAAGTATTACGGCAATTGTCTTGCCATAAGATGTCGTCATTTCTTAGTACTTTGAATGTGATCTTAATTCTGAATAATTTCATTTTCAAAACTAAACATTTATTTTACAATAGTAATAATGGTAATGATATAGTGTTAAACTTTTAGGTACAGTTTACATCAAGTTATACTCACACAGCTATTCCGCCTACTCCTCCAATGGGTGGGTTTTCACAACCAAAAATAAACTCAAGGCTAGATAACGCCGTTGTCAGGAAGCTGAGGATGATAACCATCTTCAGGCACTGCCGTCTGCTCATGCGCAGACGTGATGTTAGGTACCCTCCAAGAAACACTCCAAATATACCTGTTCCTAACTTTTCAACTCCTTTAAAGGAAAACAATAATAAGTATAACAACCTACCGAAAACAGCAAAAACAATTACGCATGAATATATTCCATTCGAAAACTGTTCGGGTCTTTCCGTCAAATTGTTTGAGTAATCGCGGACCAATCAGCTGGCCGCAACTCAAAATTCAAATTAAGAACGGTTATCTACTTAATGTTATTTTTCCACACCTAATGTCGGATTTGAGGGGGATAGTACGAATCTAAAATTATCTCTCGAAAAAGATTGAAAGCATTTTAAGACATCTATGGACACTAGTTATTTCTGCGCTGTCCTTACCTAAGATGACATTTGCTTTCCAAGTCGGGACGTTGAACTGATTCTCTATGTATTTTGGTCCAAATATGGTATTTCCCATCGCCCCAAACAGCAAACACAATATGGCGGCTAGGCAAATATCGAATACGGCACATCGAACTACCTTGTATAAACCTCTTGGTAGGGCTGCAAATGAATAGGGATAGTGATAATAATAATATACAACATTTATATAG